AGAACTGCAAGACAGGAAACCCTACCAGCAAGTTATCTCTAGCTTTAAAACACCAGCAAGAACTGCAAGACAGGAAACCCTACCAGCAAGTTATCTCTAGCTTTAAAACACCAGCAAGAACTGCAAGACAGGAAACTCTTAGAAAAAGTTCTCATTAGCTTTACAACATCAACAGGAACTGCAAGACAGAAAACTCTTAGAAAAAGTTCTCATTAGCTTTACAACATCAACAGGAAACTCTTAGAAAAAGTTCTCATTAGCTTTACAACATCAACAGGAAACTCTTAGAAAAAGTTCTCATTAGCTTTACAACATCAACAAGAACTATAAGACAGGAAACCCTACCAGCAAGTTACCTCTAGCTTTACAACATCAGCAAGAACTATAAGACAGGAAACCCTACCAGCAAGTTACCTCTAGCTTTACAACATCAGCAAGAACTACAAGAGAGGAAACCCTACCAGCAAGTTACCTCTAGCTTTACAACATCAGCAAGAACTGCAAGACAGATAGCACTCCTAGAAAGTTCTTGTCAGTTTTAAGACACTAGAAAAAAACTGCAAAGCAGGAAATACACCTAGCAGATATGGCTAATTTTAAGACACCAGCAGGTTTTCACTAGCTTTACAACACCAGCAAGATAGGAAACCCTCTTAGCATGATTTTACAAGCTCTATATATTATACAGGGTTATTTCTGAATTCAGAGATATAAAGTACAAACCTTCTGAAGGCCTTTAAACAACTCTTGTCCAACAGTCAGTGGAGAAGATTCAACAAATAACTGTGTTAAAGCAAGAGGAATAGGTAGTACAGATGGAGGCTTAGGAGGAGCTCTCTGGATCACAGGTGTCTGGGCTGGTGTTGGTTCCATTTTTGTATCTAGAGTATACACAAAATTGCCAGTAATTAAATATAAGGTAATATACAAATTATATTTCACAACTGTTTACCACACTTTGTATGTCTGTTCCCCCTGTAGTGTACAAGTACTATATACTATAGTGTATATTTCATCTCTAAATTCTTTTATAAATTCTCTAATTTCTAGTTGGGAACTTGAACTATTGCCATACATTCAGCCAAAGGTGTTACTTTCTGTAGCAGATCCAGTCAAGGAACATAGATACTGTTTCATGTGTTGTATCCTACTTTACCTAATGTATAGATTTAGCCTGAAGTTTTACTTTCTATAGCAGTTTGAATCAATTAACTTATTTACTCTTCCATGGGGTAGTTGTAGTGAATCCTTCTGTATGGAGGACAGTTCTCTGATTGTCATATGGAACAGAGACACTTCTACATTCTGTTGTCTGTTGTGTCATCTGCAGAAAGAATATTTTGGGAATGAAATTTTAGCAGTCTCAGACACATATTTTTTATCTTTGAGAAGAACAGATGTACATCAGAGAGAGCCAAGACTCTCTAGTTGTTTTATTGTCTTCAACCACTCTTGCTTGTTTGTTTTGGATTTCTTGCAAAGCTATACGAGGGCTATTTGTGCTAGCCGTCTGTAATTTAGCAGTGTAAGATTAAAGGGAAGGCAGCTAGTCATCACCACCCACCGCCAACTCTTGGGCTACTCTATTACCAACGAATAGTGGGACTGACCATCACATTATAGTGCCCCCACGGCTGAAAGGGTGAGCATGTATGGTGTGACGGAGATTCGAACCCGCGACCTACAGATTGCGAGTCGAGCGCCCTAACTACCTGGCCATGCCGGGCCACCACCCTTGCTGCTGACAATGTATGTTTGCCTACATTAATCTACTAATTTATTAGTAAAAGTTTGTTTTTATTACTTCATACCACAATAACGTCTTTCCTCCAACTGATCGGTTTTTATGTCCATTTCTTCTTCAAAAAATATAAAGTTTATTTGTGCTTTAAACTTCATCACTATGACTTGTCTCTTTCAGTCCAACTGTGTCAAATCACTGAATTTATTCTTCCACATATTGAGCCTCTGTACATCAGAAATCAAGTGACTATACACAAGGTTCATTCTTAAATTACCCCACACCTACCATGTATAAAGTAAACTACTAGAATGAAAGAAAAATCTTTCATTTATAGGAAATAACTATTTACACACTCCTACAGAATCTATTTACCCTGCACTATATGCAGTGAAGCATTACAATGAATGGAAAACCTATCTTTCATTTCTAGATACTAACTACATACCCATTTCTACACAATCTGCTTCTCCCAGCAAAGCAGAAAAATTGAGTCCACCCACAGCACCACGCTGATGCTGTACCTGCACTAGCTGAGCCATGTAAGACTTATCCACAACTGCCTGATCAACGGAACTACTGTCAAATTCCACGGCGATATCCAGGGCTTTCAGAAGCTTACTAGACCAATAGATGTTAATGTCCTGTTTAATCAGTACCATAAAGTTTACATAACAGTTCCTAGCCTTTGAAACAACAAGTCAGGTTTGATGAAACACAAGAACTCCTATAGGTTTTTGCTAATATTATGGAATCTACAGATGTTTCACTATTCTATAACAAACAACATATTCTTAACACAATAATAAACTTTAACTTTTGTTAATACTATAGTACCTACAGATGTTTCTCTACACTATTACCATCAGCTTGTTCTTAACATAATAATACACTCCAGGTTTCTGTTAATACTATGGTACCTACAGATGTTTCTCTACACTATTACCATCAGCTTGTTCTTAACATAATAATACACTCCAGTTTCTGTTAATACTATGGTACCTACAGATGTTTCTCTACACTATTACCATCAGCTTATTCTTAACACAATAATACACTCCAGTTTCTGTTAATACTATGGTACCTACAGATGTTTTTCTACACTATTACCATCAGCTTATTCTTAACACAATAATACACTCCAGTTTCTGTTAATACTATGGTACCTACAGGTGTTTTTCTACACTATTACCATCAGCTTGTTTTTAACAAATAATACACTCCAGTTCCTGTTAATACTATGGTACCTACAGATGTTTTTCTACACTATTACCATCAGTTTATTCTTAACACAATAATACACTCCAGTTTCTGTTAATACTATAATACATACAGATGTTTCTCTACACTATTACCATCAGCTTATTCTTAACACAATAATACACTCCAGTTTCTGTTAATACTATAATACCTACAGATGATTCTCTACCCTATTCCCATCAGCTTATTCTTAACATAATGATACATTCAGGATCTTTACAAAGCAGTATTTGTGTCATTTTCATCCTAAGCTTACTTTTTTAAAACTCACCTCATGTTAAAAACAGGGATTCCAAATGATTGAACAAATAAAACCAGCTGACCAGCATCCAGATCTTTCAGGGCTATAAGCAGAAATAGTAATTAAAGAAATCAGTATAGTAAAGAAACTAGTGCCAAGGTTAACCTGATTTAATGGTGAACACACAATCTCTTTTATGATGTGATCAATAACAGTTTCTATCATGTGTAACAAAATATGGGAAATTACTTGATACACTGGTCTTCAAATTGTGATGACCTGACAAATTAAGAATTTTTTTCTTGTTTCTTCAGAATACTGTTAATCAAATAACAATTTTATAATCTATGCAAAAATACTAGTTCTCATACATGAATTTCTCAAGTGGAAGATCAGAAAAAAAACTGGAATATCCCCCATAATTCAGTCATTGTGATTAAGTTGTAATTCTCAGAACCAAACTATGAAAAATATCTGTATTTAATCCCAGCAACACAATGTTTTAACAAATGTTCTTCTAAAAGCTTATATTTCTATTAAATACCAATGTTTACTGAACATTCCATACAGAACTGACAACACTTTACCAGCATCTACAAGAACATCAAATGATGACTGAATCATTCTCAGTTTTAACTAATCACATAGGAGAAGAGTTATTAAATATCAATGTTTATTGAACATTCCATACAGGACTGACAACACTTTACCAGCATCTACAAGAATATCAACATATGAGTGAATCATCCTCAGCTTTAACCAGTCAGGTAGGAGAAGAGCTTGTTCAGAAGTATCAACCAAGAAAGCTTGAGGAGGTTCAGAATCAGATGGAAACCATGCTTCCATCATTTCTTCAAAATGGCTCTGGTCTCCTAGGAATGCAATTAATTTTGAACAAATAAAAATTAGCTACTATGGTATAAATAGTATAGTAACTAAAACAAAGCTATTTTTACAACATAATGTAAATAGTATCATAACTAAAGTGGAGCTATTGTTACAACAATGACTTAAATAATAACTAACAAGGAACTGTTCTTACTCAAATTAAGGAGAAGCTATTGTTACAAAAGGGTGTAAATAGTATTTAAACTAATGTAGAGATGTTTTACACCAATTCTTAATCATCATATAAATAGTAAATAACATAGAGTCACCAGCTCTGTGTTAGATACTAGTCACACGCTAGTTGGTGTAATACCAGTTCTATTCACACACTAGTTGGTGTAAAACTAGCCTGAGAGTAGTAACTAAACAAAGGAACACCAACTAACATGTAAGTGATAACTAAATATACAACTGGTGTTATACCAACTAACATATGAGTAGTAACTAAATGTAGAGCTGGTGTAACACCAACTAGCATGTGAGTAGTAACTACACACAGAGCTGGTGTTACAACAACTAGCATGAGAGTAGTATCTAAACATAGAGCTGGTGTAATACACACCAACTAACATGTGAGTAGTAACTAACATAGAGCTGGTGTTATACCAACTAACATGTGAGTAGTAACTAACATAGAGCTGGTGTAACACCAACTAACATGTGAGTAATAACCAAATGTAGAGCTGGTGTAACATCAACTAGCATGAGAGTAGTATCTAAACACAGAGCTGGTGTAACATCAACTAGCATGAGAGTAGTATCTAAACACAGAGCTGGTGTAATACACACCAACTAACATGTGAGTAGTAACTAACATAGAGCTGGTGTAACACCAACTAACATGTGAGTAATAACCATACATAGTAGTAACTTTGTAACACCGGTTTTGTGTTTAGTTACTACTCACATAGTAGTAACTTTGTAACACCAGTTTTGTGTTTAGTTACTACTCACATAGTAGTAACTTTGTAACACCAGTTTTGCATTTAGTTACTACTCACATGTTAGTTGGTATAACACCAGCTGTATGTTTAGTTATCACTCACATCTTAGTTGATGTTACACCAGCTCTACATTTGGTTATTACTCACATGTTAGTTGGTATAACACCAGCTGTATGTTTAGTTATCACTCACATCTTAGTTGATGTTACACCAGCTCTACATGAGTAGTAACTAAACATATAGCTGTTGTTCTACCAACTAACATGTGAATAGTAACTAAATGTAGAGCTGGTGTAACACCAACTAGCATGTGAGTAGTAACTAAACACAGAGCTGGTGTTACAATAACTAGCATGAGATTAGTATCTAAACACAGAGCTGGTGTAATACACACCAACTAACATGTGAGTGATAACTAAACATACAGCTGGTGTTACAAAGTTACTACTATGTGAGTAGTAACTAAATGCAAAACTGGTGTTACAAAGTTACTACTATGTGAGTAGTAACTAAACACAAAACTGGTGTTACAAAGTTACTACTATGTGAGTAGTAACTAAACACAAAACTGGTGTTACAAAGTTACTACTATGTGAGTAGTAACTAAATGTAGAGCTGGTGTAACACCAACTAGCATGTGAGTAGTAACTAAACACAGAGCTGGTGTTACAATAACTAGCATGAGATTAGTATCTAAACATAGATCTGGTGTAATACACACCAACTAACAAGTGAGTAGTAACTAACATAGAGCTGGTCTTACACAAACTAGTGTAAGTAGCAACTAAACATAGAGCTGGTGTTACACCAACTAGCATGTGAGTAGTAAATAACTGCAGAGCTGGAGATAAATCAACTAGTATGTGAGTAGTAAGTAAATGTAAAGCTGAAGTTACACTACCTAAAATGTGTATGGTAACTAAACATAGAGCTCGAGTTACACAGTTACTACCGTGTGAGTTGTAGTAACTAAACGTAGAGCTAGTGTTACACCAGTTGGCGTTTGAGTAGTAACCAAACATATAACTGGAGTTATACCAACTAGTGTGTGAGTAGTAACTAAAGGCAGAGCTGGTGTTACACCAACTAACATGTGAGTAGGAACTAAATGTAGAAATGGTGTTACACCAATTTACATGTAAGTATTAATTAAAGGCAGAGCTGGTGTTACACCAACTAATATGTGAGTAGGAACTAAATGTAGAAATGGTGTTACACCAACTTACATGTGAGTAGTAACAAAAGAGAGCACTGGAGATACACTAATAAGCATGTGAGTAGTAACTGGCATGGTGTGAATAGTGACAACATAGAGCTGTTTTTACACAAACTAACATGGTGTAAATAGTATTGTGCTTTATCTTTTTGTGTATTTCAGCATTCATACTTTTTTTTTTGAAATTATCACAACTTCAAATTCCTTTATTTATGTTTCCCAGATATTTAGTCAAGTTTGGAGTATTTCAGTTTGCAATGATTGTATTATTAATGGTAGGTTATACATGTTATTGATTAGTTGACGAATCTAAACAAAATAACGATTACCTTCAGGAGGTCCATAAGTCAGAAGAATCACCATGGTATGAACAACCAGAATGTGCATTATGGCAGCTTGGCCATTAGCCCACTGAACAAGAATATGCCCTTGTGATTCTGACTGAAAAAAATTTGTAATTTCATAAGCTGAAAGATGAATCAACACTTACAAAACTAACCCTAAGAAACATCTAACACTTAATATATAAATCTCAGCAGTATATGTAATATCACACTGTAAATTAATACTTACTGTATAAACATCCCCAGTACATATAATGTTACACTGTAAGTTAATATTGTCTATATATACCTCACCAGTACATGTAATGCCCCATTGTAAATTAATACTTACTACATATACCTTACCAGTACATGTAATGCCCCATTGTAAATTAATACTTACTACATATGCTTCACCAGTACATCTAATGTCACACTGTAAGTTAATATTTACTATATAAACATCAGCAGTATATATAATGTCCCATTATAAGTTAATACTTACAATATAAACCTTACCAGTAAATGTAATGTAAGTTAATACTTACTATATAAACCTCACCAGTACACGTTATGTCACACTGTAGGTTAATACTTACTACATAAATCTCAACAGTAAAAGTATTGTCACACTTTAAGTTAATGTTTACTATATAAACCTCTCCAGTAGATGTAATGTCATGTTGTAAGATAATATTTACTATATAAACCTCAGCAGTACATGTAATGTCCCATTGAGTTAATACACACTATATGAAGCTCACCTGTACATGTAATACTTAATATATAAATTGTAGCAGTATGTCAACTTGTAAGTTAATACTCACTATATATACTTTAGTAGTACATGTGAAGTCACAATGTAAGTTAATACTCACTATATATACTTTAGTAGTACATGTGAAGTCACAATGTAAGTTAATACTCACTAAATATACTTTAGTAGTACATCTGAAGTCACAATGCAAGTTAATGCTCACTATATATACTTTAGTAGTATGGTCGGGGGCGGACGTCCTGGGAAACGAGTAAAGTCGTTCCTGGCGCTCCATGAAATGCTCCCAAAAGACCAGCTTGTTAAGCCTCTACTGAGGAAGTCCCATTCACTGCCTTCTCGTGGCAAAGGTGTTTTCACTGAAGTGAAAGGGCGTAAGCGGGTGACCCGCACTATAACGGGTTCGGTGGTTCATTGATCACCTAGGGGAGTTGGCTAAACCCTGATTTCAAACCAACAACAGCGGAACAGATCTGGTGGATTGAGCGGATGAGGTCAACACGACCCAATGGTCATGATGGCGGTACTAACTGCTGCATCTGGGCAGATGGGGCTCAACAGCCTTGGAAGGCAGCTCATCTAGGGGAGAAACCCTGACTTCAAACCCCTGCTGCCTTGCGGATGCATCTGACCATGGAAGGCTTCAGGAGAAAACCTTGATGAAAAATCCAGAGTCGGAGCCTCGAAGGCAGTTCGACGTTAATTCCAACCCCGTTCTGGCAGCTCCTGCAACCGTGTTGACACCAAACTGTATCAGCACTGCTGTTCCTTTGGCTCCGTCATTGAGGTGGAGAGGGGGGGCGAGTTGTGTGTCCCCCATATCAGAATGCCCAGGCTTACAGCTGAAGATCGGTGAAGAGGAATTGACGGTGGCAGCAGAAGAGAAGCGAGCACATCAAAAGGAACAGGCAGCCAACAGACCAGCATCAACGCACATATGTGACCTCTGCAGCCGGGACTGTCACTCTCGTGTTGGTCTCCTTAGTCACAAGAGATGCTGCTCTAGACGAGCGATCAATATGAGCTAACAATGGATGGATGCTCATCCATGGTCAAACCTGGCCAAAGGAGGCCTACAATAACATGTGAAGTTGCAATTTAAGTTAATACTCACTATATATATACTTTAGTAGTACATGTGAAGATAATACTAATTATTCAACCCTTTCACTGCCAACAGTGACTCTAGTGGATGGAAGTTATTTTCCTATACTGAAAATATATTTCTGATAGGTACTTACTTCCTATCAATGTATAACTATTCTCGGTCAGTGCTACCCCCTGTATGTAAAAATCTTTTCGCATGTCACAAGCCTTGAGCTCATACAACCCCATGATCAAAGTGGTTCACTGCGTCTCACACGTAAGTCATCGTGCATTAACCCTCCACCAACAGGAGTTGGACACACGGGTAAGGGTAGAAAGAGAAAGGTCACATACAGAGGATTGTTGCCAGGGGATGAAAAGGTGGAAACAGGAACCACAGTAGGAAGCCGTGCAGGCAATGTAACAATGAAGAGCACATACGAGACATTGAAGTCTATCTGGATCAGACTGAGAATAAAGTTGGGATATGGATGGAAGTGAAATTTATGAGAAGGAGGAATGTCCCTCACAAGCCGCTGAAGTTTTGGGGAGGAAAGGTCGATCCAGATAAAGGAGAACACACATGGAATGGTATAGCGTATGTGAAATGTCAATAGCAAAGATATCAGACAAATGCCACCCTCAGGCTAAAAGGAGTAGGAAATAAGTCTTAAGGGATAGGTGAAACAAGGAACATGAGAACAAAGGTTCAAATGGATGTAGCGTAAGGCAGTGAAGAACAATATTGACATTCCAATCTGTCCACGAGAACGTCTATGGATCCAGAAGGAATGCATTAAAAGAAAGATGGTAGGAGAGGAAAACACCAAATGGTATCGGGTAAAACAAAAGGTGTTGGTTAATGCCACTCAATAACCAACTATGGAAGAGACAGAAGACCCATGAATGAACAGCCGAATGAGGAAACCCATATAAAGAGGAACTGTGGACCAAAAAGGGAAAAACCTTGACTCAAAGACTGAAAGTGGAAGACATTCCATTTACGTTGATAAGCCTCAAGATAGGAAAAGCGAATGAACCGTGCTAAAAAGGAAGCAACGAGCCTAGACAATATGCAGCTTGCGAGTCGAGTGCCCTAACTATCTGGCCATGCCAGGCCAGGTAATTAGGGAGTCCAAGGGATCCAAAGCAAGATTTCATGGGTCGCCGCCAATCTCAGGTTTTCTTGGGAACCACAAGAAACCTGGAGAAGGTTGGCTGACAGGTTCAGTAGCTCTCTGCGATAGAAGAGTCAGCACAGCCTCAGAGAGACGCTGATTGGTAAAAGGATCCTGTGATAATGAGAAGGATATCAGTACAGGAGATAATGAGGTGAGGAAAGAAAACAGATAAAAAGTCCTTTTGACGAAACTTGGATCACCCAAGGATCGGTAGTGAATTCCCCCCATAAGGAAACAAAATCAACCAAACATGCTCCCACTGGACCAGAACCTACTAGGTAGTCACTGGAACTATTGGCAATGATGAATCCAATGTCAAGAAACACAATGAATTATAGAACCCCTAATGGTAGGCACTGGTAAAGGATGGGAGGGTGCAGGACAGTAAACAGTAACAGGAGAGGGTGTGAGATCAGAAGGAGATAAATGAGCATCCAAAGATGAAAGGGTTGAATGTTGTCTAACAGCTTCCAAAGACTCACGAATATCTTCAAAAACAGACCGATGGAGAAAAAGAGCCATCCGTAAGTCATGAAGATAAGGGGAAGGTAGATGAACCTGTGACAAGAGAGCATCCCTTCCAATAAGATCTACAAAGAAACCATGTGTGAAGGTATAGGGTTGAAGAGGATAACTGTGCCAATGTGGAAGTAATAAGAGAAAAAGTATTCCCCTAAAACCCTTCAGGGTGTGGAGTGCCTCAGAAAGGAGGTGTAAGGGTAAGACGAAGACAGAAAAAGTGCGAGTCGGATAAATACATAGGATTTTCAAGATCAGCCCCCCACACAGGTAAAAGTGACTTCAACTGCTGAGAGTAGAAGGAGGGTTGATCAGACTGATGATAAGCAAAAGCATGATGATCAGAAGCCCGTGGAGGGTGAGGCATGCTAGCACCAACTCTCAACTGAGAATCCTGATGTCAAGAGAAGGATGGAAAACAAGGTAGTCTAAGGAAGGGGTGTCATGTAACAAGGAAGGAAGAGGATCATATGAAATCGGGGAAATGAATAAAATAGAACACACCCAAGAAATCATATCCAAAAAGGCTGATTACGCCTAGAAGATTCTGCAGGAGAGGCTTGGGATGGCACGCATAGTTAGGTGGAGGAAAAGGGCTGTCAAGATCCTCCTCATCATGGGTAGGTTCAGAAGATTCAGGACGAAGTAGAACGTTATTGGGAGAAAAAGGTTGACTCATATAATGATCAATTTCCCAACGAATGATAGCCAAAAAATACTCAGTCAAGACCCTCCTGCCTGAAGCCTGTGTAAGGGTACTGAAAAAATATCAAAAGTTGTGATACAAACTTCAGAATTCATCATAAACTGTGAAGAATTGAAAAATAAAATAAATCGATAAAGAAAGTTATCATGGAACAAAACTACAGAAAACAAACTAGCAAATGAATAATTAAATTAAATCACTATTTTGCAGGAAACAAAAATTAAATGAACATGAGAAGAGAGCACAATTGAAAAATGGCTGATGAGAAATGATAGTTTGGTAGAATCAAAGAGAGGGAATGATACTACTACTGGTGGAGGGTTGTCACATACCTGTACATGTGAGAGGAGGTAAGATACTGTATCGGAAGATTAATTGCTGCTGACAGCAGAGATCAACTTTTCACTAAGACTGTCAAAAATACTTCCCTCTAAAGCAGAAAATTAAAACCCCCACACACGAGCTTGAATCAACAGCCAGAAACCAGGTGTGCTAACATTTGGGAGCATGAGCGTGAAACACAAGTATAAATAATCCCTCAGCTGACAGATGATGCTAGGCACCCATGAACAGAGATATCAGCTGATTGTCGTATTTTCTCTGTTTTTTACTATAATTTAGGTAACTTATTGATGCCATAATGTCAAGTTATACAATGTTGGTGTGTTCTATGTATCATGATGCATAATACAGTGAAATATAATGCTAATTTACAATGGTTTTTGATGGAAAAATGACATTAATTGGGTACTGACCATGAAATCTAATTATACGGTGAAAGGGTTAAACCTCAGCAGTACAAGGAAAATCCCAATGTAAGTTAATATTTATTATTTAAAACTTGGGAATACATGTAACTTCAGATTATAGTGAAATTAATGCATCTTATTTAAACTTAATCAGTCACAAGACACATCTTCAGAGTTTGTTTCCTATTTGTTTCTGCTTTTTAAAATTGGCATTTATTTAATACTAGAAATAAACTGAAAGCATACTACAATCATGTTAATACAAAATGAAAAGGCTAAATGATTTATAGCAGATCAATAAAAACTAAATAATACATGGAAACAACTAACTATACTGTCGATTCAAGATACATGCAGATACTCATTTGGCTATAGAATCACCAACACTAACTTGGAAAAGATAAAAAATAAACAAGCCTCACCCAGGCATAGGCCTCCTTAGATGGTCGCTGTACCTGTTTCAGGTATGTAGTGAAGATTTTAGAGATTGCTATGAGGAAAGAATTCTTCCTGCTACTACTGTTTCCATTGGAGGGAAGGATACAGTTGACGATTGTTGGTCTTTCAACAATCATCTGGGCCATGTCCTGTTAAATTACATTGAACACAGTGTTAATAATATTAGTGTCTGCAAATTTTTTATACTTTAAAGGAATTTTCTGATGAACAGTATCACATATAACACAATGACAAGACAATGTTCTCTAGTCAAAACATATGATCAAATATCACTCTTCTTTAACTGATACATGTACTAGCCGACTAAAATAATACATTACCAAGGCAAGGTCTCCCACGTTCTGTTGGTCATCAACAGGACTGTAAGCTGACAGGAAGTGGACATAAGCACTGATAGCCAGAGGATCATTCTCAACATGACAGGCCTGCAGAAAATGGTGAAATATAAAACAAGAAATGATTTACTTTGAATTTTCAACAAAAAAGATTCTTATATGGCTTACTTTCTACATGCTATGAAATGGAACCACCTACAACTAATAAATAACATTGGACTTCACACACAATTTGAAGGTATTTTCTTACTTATAATAAAAATATCATATAAAACAATAAATACATTTTTGCAAGACATATTTCATTTCAAAATATGCCTTTTTTCCACCTACCTCACATAACCAATGTAGCCTAAATCCTAAAAACCATGAAAACCTACACTTTCTGTGAGACTTTTTATCCAAGCTTTTTAGTCAACCAACACCATATTGAAGAAGGAAAGATAACTATAATTCTGAATTTATTAAGCATATCTACACTAAATGTGAAAAATTTTAGCAAAATGTACGAGTCTGCCATATAAAAAAACCAGGTGTGTTACAGAAGTATTTGTAATCAAGATGTTAATGTGAATTGGTGACATAAGTTTCACTCGGACAAGTATTTGTAATCAAGATGTTAATGTGAATTGGTGACATATATTTTAACTCGGACTCTGAAAAGTAGAGTGCAAGGAGATGTTTATGTAAAGAATAAAAATACTTTTGTCCATCATACAGTTTGCATAAACTCTACAATAAATATCTACTTTGTATCTCAGTATCCCTGTACACTGTAACTGGTACTTGTCCTCCTCTACCATGAACTACAGTGAATCTCAGTATCCCTGTACACTGTAACTGGTACTTGTCCTCCTCTACCATGAACTACAGTGAATCTCAGTATCCCTGTACACTGTATCTGGTACTTGTCCTCCTCTACCATGAACTACAGTGAATCTCAGTATCCCTGTACACTGTATCTGGTATTTGCCATCCTTTACCATGAACTACAGTGAATCTCAGTATCCCTGTACACTGTAACTGGTACTTGTCCTCCTCTACCATGAACTGCAGTGAATCTCAGTATCCCTGTACACTGTATCTGGTACTTGTCCTCCTCTACCATGAACTACAGTGAATCTCAGTATCCCTGTACACTGTATCTGGTATTTACTCTCCTTTATCACAAAGTGTCACTAAATCAATAATGTATGGTAAAATGAATAGTTGATAACTCTGGCATCATATACATAACACTATGTTGAATGGTATTCTGTAAAAGGTACATATAGGGTTAATATGAAAAAATACAACAGATTGAGAAGAGAAACAAACACACACAACTCTCTGGAATAGGTGGTTAATTGTTGTTAAGCATATAGCTACACAAAAGAATATCCATGCTGTGTCCACCATGGAGAATCAAACCCTGGATTCAGAGTTTACTGTGTCCTTAAGAACCAACAGAAGATCTGAAGTAGTTGATATAAGTACCTGTCTGAGAACGAAACAAGCTTGGGATTTTGCCACATCAAAGTGTGGGAGTAGTGGCATGTACTTTAACAACCAGCTGTGTTCGGAAGTTTCCTTCTCCAGGAGGTCATCATCATCTGAGCCAGGTGATCTGTTAGGTTGTGTGAGCACCAAATTCAAACCCTGGAAGTAAAATCCAGTTTTAGTATTAGTTCTGTGCTATACCACAATAATAAGTATGATTGCTTCTCAGTTTGATGAAATAGATTTGTGTAAAAAAAGTAACAAAAACTGTAATGCTAAGTGTAAATATTCCTCAGTTGGTTAACTAAAATAACCAGGTACATTTATTTACTATAATTAGCTTAATATAAACACATGTAAAACATAATCCACTCTTAATCTTATTTTAAACAAAACACGCATGCATGGAAAGCAAATACAGTTTTGAGCTAAAGAAAATATTAAAATGAATGCTCTTAAAATATTACACTCTTGAAAGTTACTTTAAAAACAATATACTATTACTATTTTGTAGTTTAAATACAGAAAGTTCTGGTGAAAAGCATAAGTGGACTGAGGAAAGTCCCTGTTTCTTTAAGGTAGCACTGCCCCTTAAAACTGAGGAAACACTGTTTAATACTTCTTATAACCTTCAAGTTAAGCACAAAACAAAAGATGATGTTACAATCTCTGAAAGAACATTTTCAGTCATATATGTATAATTAATGTGGCAGGGATAAAGAAATACATAACATAAACTGTTTTAACACCATAACTTTACTTAAGAATGGTAAAAACCTGTGAAAATTGATATAGATGCTCTTTGTGAACATCCTCATAGTTTAATTTAAAAATTTGTTGGATAAAATTGTGTAAATTGTAAATACAAGTAAAAGGGGATATGGATTAAAGAAAGAGAGACTTCTCTCAATCCAATAGTATGTGATATGGATTAAAATAGCACTGACCTTTAAAGAGCGACCCCAATATTTTAAAAATCACATTTTTTTAATTTAGCCTAAATCGAAAGTTTAACATCTTTTCTACACAAATAACTCATTTTCATCCTAAAATCTTTACTAATTAACCTGTAGTAAATGATTAAAAATAAAAGTCTAGTTTGTTTTCATTTCGTTTCCACTTCACCATTAAATCCAATATCAGCGTAAAATTTAGCACACTTGTTGATATTACACTCTTTCATAGCTTTTTTAAAATTCAAAATCTTTACCAATTGTCTTGTTATGAGTCTAATTACCACTAACAAAGGCATTAATTACAATTAATTGCCCATAGCTCGTTTTTTTATCAAAGTTCATCAAGATTCAAAATAAGGACTACATTACTCAGTTTTATTATACTTCATCAAAACTTAA